AGAGGTGGCGCCGCCCTCTTTTTGGGTACCCGATGTCATTGATGGTTCCATGACAATTTTGCTGTAGGAACAATAATGTTGTAGCAATATTTTTTATTATTTTTATTTTGGGTTAATAGAGTATTTCCAAATAAAAGCATCTAAAAAAATGTCGTCAAACAAAATGATATACTACACAAGAAAATATACAGGAAATACACAAAACACAACATTATTTAATGTCAATAATCACCATAACAACATATTCAACAACATTAATATTGTATAATAACCGACAAAAGATAATTCAAAAACATTTGTCACACATACTTAGTAACTAATAGAGTCTTATGAAAGTACACAAAGATAAGTTTGTTTATCTATTAGGGAACACCGCCTTGCCATTCTGTGAACATTTGTTGGGCTAGGAGATCCCGCTTCTGGGTCCATTCGGGACTACTTTTAACTTGATCTATGTAGTCGTCGTCAGACGGTGGGTTGGAAGGTATCGGGAATTCTGGAATCTCGTTCTCGATGGGGTCTTCGGACATTGTTGTACGTATAAAATTATGAATAAGCGCGCACGCCATGATAATGCGATTTTGGGTCTTAATGGGGTAAAAAGAGTTACTCCTAAGAATTGCCCAACGCATTTTTAGAATGCCAAAAGCACGTTCAATCGCGTTTCTAGCTTTGGCGTGCCGAAGGTTGTAGAGTTCTCTAAAGTTTTGTTGAGTACGGGACCCTGTACCCCATTCATCTAAGTGATATCTGACACCCCTATATGCGATAGAAAGCCAGAACCATTAGTGTAACCACCATCCACCAAATAATATTGTCCTGCATTGTAAACGATTGTGTTATGTTTGATTGAGTGTTTTAAGAGTGGGTGTTGTTTACACTATTTATTCTAAAAAATAAAGGGAATACCGTTTGGGACTCGGAGTGAATTTGCCCTAGTGATTGCATCTCTTAGTACTCGATTATCAGCAGCAGACCACTCCCATCCACAAAGCATGTAGACGAAGTTCATATTTCTATCGCACACCCCAAGTGCATTAACTGACACTTGACCCTTTCGATTCCTATATCTTCCTCTATCTTTTGATGGGACTCGAACGTTAATGTATGTTTTATCTAGTGCTCCTAGACACCCCTAAGGAAAAAAAAAATAGTATTAGTTTGGAAAGAGTTGATAAGAAAAAAATGACTAAGGGTTGGTAAGGGTGTTGTGTAGTAGGCTACCTTGAACCATTTCCACCGTGAATTTGAACAATCATCCTCAACTGGCTTAGGTGTGGCGACTAGGACAGTGTGAAGGCGGATTACCGCATCAAGTACACGGTTAAAGTACTTGCTTACGGTTCTACCTGATCTCGTAAAATCAAACTTCAAGGTGACGTTTTTCTTATGATGTGCGGGGATTGAAAGAAACATGGCAACTTGTTCACTCGGTGCAACGTTTCTAGATTAAACAAGACCCCCTAAATTTTTAAGGAGGAAACAAAGGCGACCAAAACAGTTCCTGTCCATACGGAGGTTCTCAAGGCAAGTGGTGTCGCTAACGTCGACTAGCCTTTGCATATGACTCACTTGAAAGGGCACTCTATCCCTCAATCGGTATGTGAGTCCGCTAGTCAACGAAGGTCGACGGCGGCGAGGGAGTATGAATTTGTGGTAGTAGTAACTAGCCACTATGAAAAAAAAAGGAGCACCAAGAACAATCTCTTCCAAAAGAGTGAAAATTAGTAATTTGTCTCGCACGTTATCCATCTACAAAGATTGAACAACAAGGGCAAGGATAACTAAGATTTATCCAAAAATTAATACTTCAAATACTCTGGTTTAATATACTCTGTGCAAGGATACACTAAGGTTCAAATATTTTATTCAAAACAAGGGCAAATAACTCTTATGTAATGCTCATATTCCCCTTCAAAATAAACTTCAAAAGGGCATACTCACTACACTTATACTCAGATGAAAATAAACAACAAAAACAGCACGTACAACACATAATGGTCACTCTAAACATGCTATTCAGTCAACCCTCTAGTAAAGCATACTAAGACTGGTTATGAAACAGAGGAGTAATACAAGAAAATTGCTTTAATGTTAGTAAAATTCAAAAAGTACTTTAGACATAATGAAACATACACATAAACAACATGTTCACATGTATAGTTATCTGTCACAACACAAACTGAATAGTTATATGTCAAAATTACAAACATTGCAGACATCACCACCAGAAATCATTCACATTCCAAAAAACATCCACATACACATAAAGTTACCAGTAATAGTTATATATTTCAAATTAAAAACATTCCAGAAATCATTCCCTACTAACTGATAACATTGACTAGCACAAAACATTCACAAATTATTTCTTGATCTTAATTAAAACTGGCAATAAACTACAACGAATATTGATGGATGACAGAAGATAATTTTAGGAGGTTTTGCAATTTTCACCTAGAAATTGGATTTTTTAAAATTCAGGCTCATCTAGAATTTGATCTGGTTTTGGAAAATTAATGTGGATGACAGAAAATTTAATTGGTGTTTTTGATCTTAATTAAAACTGGCAATAAAGTACAACGAATATTGATGGATGACAGAAAATTTAAAAACAAGCTAGGCAATTTTTACATAACAATGAAAGCAATCAAAACACAGAACATACATGCTTCACTAGGCTCTTCATATTTAATAGATATCATCATAACATATAACTTTATATATCACTGGAACCAAGGCTAGGTTTCAGATATAACAATTTACTGCAGCAGTGGTTGGTCACTGGAACTTTTTATAACAATTAAAACACAAAACATACATGCTTCACTAGGTTTCAGATATAACAATTTTTTTGGAAATTCCAAGTCATTTCAGTAAATGAACAAATTATGAACCAAACAAGTTTATTTGACACAATCAGTACAACAAAATATGTATAACATTCGCATAAACCAATCCATTTTTCAGTACATAAGGACATGCCCATTGTTTACTTGGGAACGAATGTCTAATATTTAAACAAAACAAGGCAATTGATCAAAAAACTCATGCACAAATGTTCGCAAGAAAAATATGCCAACACTACAACATGCTTTTCTTCTTCTTTCTCTAAAAACTTAACAAGTTAAGACATGAAAAAAATTTAGTTATAAAGTCTAAAGCTAAGCACAAATCAGCAGAAATAAATAACATGTACCTATAATGAGGAAAATTAAAAACAAGCTGAGGTTCCAATTACTGAAACCGAACATTAACATACTCTTAAAAAATAAAAACAAAAAACACAGAATTTCAGCAAGACGACAACCAAATTGAGATTCCAATAATTTATCCAAAACAAGGGCAAATAACACTTTATAGTCTCTGAAAGTGAGCACAATTCAACGCATAATAAAGAACACTCCCAGAAATTTCAGCAACTCAACAAATTAAGGCCCAAACACAACAACACAACATTATTACAATCTCAAAATAAATGTCAAAAGGGTAAAAAAGAGTTCAGCACCTTGCGGCCGCATGGAAAATAGCAAAGTTGTATAGCTTCCTCCCCTGCTCGTGCTCGTCGCAGCCGAAGTGAACTAGGAAAAATGCTCCATTTTCATAACAACATCAATGTTAATGCCAAATCACAAAACAATGTTACAAGAAAAACAGAAAAATAAGGGGAAACTCGAAACTTACCACAGACAACGAAACGACGAAGAATAACAGGTACTCAACCATGAACAAGGATCTACACACCTAGGGCAACATGAAGCAGTCATATTCAGCACGAAAAAATTAAAATTTTAAAACAAAAAAAAAATAAAAAATAAAAAACCGATATAAAAAAGGCACAATGATAATCGATGTCTTCATTACAAAATAACATAACAAAGACGAGAAAATCGACCTTACCTTTCAAAGATGACGAAGAGCACAGAGTTCGTCTGTTACTGGGGGGGAGGGGGGGTAAGCGAAGGTCTCGATTCTGCCATAAAAATCACAAATGACGGATTTTTGTTTTTATATGGGTAATTGGTAGTAAATAAATGGAACCCAAGGGGCATTTATATATTTTTACAATGGAAAAGTGAGGGTAAGTTGGGGATGTCAAAACGGGATAACAAATATCCGGCCTCCCCCCGGGATTAAATTTGTCCCAGAAACCGCGATAATGGTGTGGGTCCCGCGCGCCACATGCGTGCCAGCGAGGAAAATATTTGTCCCAATCAGCTGATGTAAACGAGGGATATATTATTTATCATATCCCAACCCTCAAAGTAAATGACCCCTAGGTTGACAATGTAGCATTACTCAATGAATATATGTGTAAAGTTATTTATGTCTAATACCAAACCTAACTCCAGAGTAAAAATAATATAAAAAAAATATCACAAAGCATAGATTTTCGCCATGTAAACATTCGATGTCTGAAAATCTACCACTTAAACTTTGAATTAATATATAAGAAAGGGATTTGCGTGACAAACCTTTAGGAACCCAAAAAGACTAAAAAACACGAAAGGGAACTTGGAAACAGAACCAAACGTCCAACTTACACTTTTAAGAAAGGAAAAATGAGAAAAAGAAAAAGGAGTTGGACAGGTTTTGTTTCTGAGGTGGCAACCTTTAAGTGGAATAGTTTTCTGCTCTCTTCACTGCAAGCAAATGCAGCCACCTACTCTTTTCTCCTGCTTTCCCCTCTCTCTCTAAAAACATCCGCAGTTGGCCGCTGTTGATCCACCGCCACCGCCGCAGCAAAGTTTCCTCCGCCTGCAAGCAACGCATCCGCCGCCACCACCGCCACCGCTCCAAGGGCTCCTGGCCGCCGTCACTCCACACTGAACGATAGCTGGTTTGTTGTTTCTCTCTCTAGGTTACCGATTTCCTCTACCGTAAACACAATGTACATTCCGAACCTCAACCCGAAGGCCCTAATTTACTTCGGGCAATGCTCATTCTGAAATTCCTCCTGATTACTGTACTTTGGAAACCCTAGCTCTATTGAGTCTATAATGTCTGGACCGCCGAAGGTTAAACCCACGAATTTCAAGGAACTGGAGGCTCGACCGGTGCTGGGACCGGCCGGGAATAAAACCGGCCCCGTCGAGTTGCGGAAGCCGGCCCTCAAGCTCAAATGCGAGAAGACAGAGCAGCCGCCTGTCGAGGCGCCAGCAGCTGATGGGGCCAAGGGGAACAAGTCTCCAGTGGGGTTCCCAGAGAAAATACCTTCATCGGTGGGTTTCAGGAGGAACTCAAGCAGTGCCGGCTCGATTCTGAGCCAACGGCTGCCGAACTTGTCCCTGAACGCCTCATGCTCCTCGGATGCCTCCACTGATTCTACACGCAGCAGGGCCTCCACCGGGACTATTGCCCGCCAGACCATGAATCCCGCACCACATGTAAAGAAGAAGCAGCTGGGCAGCTTGAAAGGAAAGAGGGTCGAGGGTGTGGAAGGTAATGGGAAATGTGTGGGGAGCGAGTGTGATGGTTATGCGGCGGATGGTGCTCCGGTCAAGAAAAGGTGTGCTTGGGTGACCTCGAATACTGGTATGTTTGCGACTTTGTTTTCATGGAGTATTAGAGATAATAACTGTGGTATCTATTGGGAGGACTCCCTGTGTTTGTTCAGTGGTTTGAATTTTTATTTAGCGAATATTGTATATATCCACATAACGTTTCTAAATGTAGGGTTTTGCTCATTTTTTTTTTTCGTCTGATATATTAACCAGGAATTGGATTTGCATCTGAATTTGGTTTCTGAGTGCTAGGTTTTCATATTGTATCTCTGCTACTTGAAGTGGTTTTTACTCTTTATGCATATTGTTATTTGTTTACGCTCACATCTTGATGGAAGGTACATGAATATGAAGTAAACGTATGTATCCAACTATGTTGATAACGTGGCGTGGGTTTACATGCATTGATATCTATGTAACCAACCTAATATCCTAGCATAATCTTGGTCATCATGTGTACCTCCACTTAGTTAATATAACTGAGATATGTGTTTTCCCATGGATTAAAGAATTTCTCCGACTGTCAATGAGGATTTATCATTTAACTATAATGTTCCTGTTGCAATCCAATCCGCTTGCTAATGAAAGAAAACATCATTATTAGTTGTTAAGATTGTTTTAGTCTATGACGATGTGGGTTACACGGATTTATGAACAATTTTTCCACTTATGCATCCTAAGGTTTGCAAGCATCTGACTGATTAACCTTTTATAAGCATTGGTTCTTTTGCGACTTAAGATAGTTTCTCTTTGGAGTTTATTTTCTTAGTTTGAATAGATTTGTTGTTTTCTTAGTTTGAATGGATAAGGATTACACCAGTTCTTTTTATACTGGTTACTCTAGTTGACATATGCATGCTTACGTATCACTATAAAATAAATTGCGAAAAGCTACTAGATATAATGGTGTGCCTCACTTATTGATGCCAAGAAAGCGATAACTCATCGTCGCTATAGCCTGTCATAGAAAACCAAAAGAAGACAGGTTTCTGTTGCATTAAATGACGACATAAGAAACAGTCGTGATAATGCCAACTTTGTGGTTGTTGTCTGTTGCCAACAGTCTTAACTAATAGAAATTTTGTGTTGTAAGCCTGTATTCAGTACATTTGGGTAATAAAAACTGGTGTCAATTGAACAATGAAAAGCGATGATAAGAGTTAGTGCTTGGTATGAAAGAAGCGCACATGCGTTTTGAAGATTTTTCCTCATAAGGATGTACTTGAGAAAACCTTTGGAATGTTACCTCCACTTTCTCTGAATTAGAGATAATGTGGCGAATCAAAATCCTCACGTCATGAATCTGTTTGGAGGCACGAGGAGCTACAATTCCCCCTTTCACCAATCCTCCCTACATGTAGTTATAATAATACTAAT